AAACAAGCACCTTGGTATCCCTATGGATGTCCTGGTCCTCAAACACTCTCTGCTTTATTTGGAAAAATGCTGCACTCACAGAACTCAGTTGGTGTTGTATTTCAGTGCCAATGTTGACTTTTTAAAAGTAGTGTCAAACTACTTTGATTCAACAGTGTAGATGCACCCACAATGAGGTTCTGTACATGGAGGATTGAAATGAATGGTTGCTGAGCGACTCTGGGAGTTACGTATATAGCAAAACTTCTCCATGAATGAACGGGCCTAGTGGGCCAGATATATTATGCCATCCATTGCACCAGAAGTCTGTCACTTGAAGCAAACACTGTCTATGCCTCTGTGGCTACCCAAAAGGAAGGCTAGCCTATCAACCTTCAGAGTCGCATCAGCACATGTGTTAGAAATGAGCATTTCTGTGTTGATGGGCACCAAAAGAACCGTAGAGAATGATGTGTCTACTGACCTGGTACAAATACTGCATTTACCCTTGCTTAATACCCCGGAATACAAGCATGTTCTGTTTACACAGTAGCCCTCCAAGCATGAGATGACAGATGACAGATTAGTGCATGCCCTGTGCCGTAGCGCATGGCCTAAAGTCCACACCAGAAGTACTTTGGTAGCAATTGGAGGGAAAAAACAGTAACTCTAGCATTGGACTGGTAAAACATAACATATATGAAATGAGCCATTGAAATCCCAAGGCATGTATATTCCCAGCCATAGAAAAACATGCCATTTGGTACTGGCATTTATAGCTAGTGTTGCGTCACGGAATCTGGGCAGCTTCATTTTACATACATAGACACATAGCTTAATAGTATTGTTCCTCGTCTTGCTTAATCCGTGAGAAATTCTAGAACTTGGTTGATTTTTCTTTGGGCGAGGGATATCTGCAATATTTGCAAAACATTTTACTGGAAATAAAGCATTTTTGGATGCCCATGACCATCTTTTTGGAAGTTATATATGTGTGCCTGTGTGATGGAGTAACTATTAATCGCCATTCGTTAATTCATTCTATATGCTACTCCAACTATTGGCTAAAAACATACATATTTATTTAAGAGTAGGCGGGCAGAGTTGTTATATGCATTGGGGTGGGGATTAATTTCCATTCAGATTACACTATGCAAGGAAGGGACTCTCTTGTCAGTGAATACATGGCGCCTGCATTCATATCCCCACATGCTGTTTTTAGCCTTGGGGGAAAACTCCCACTGCCAACAAAATTAGAAAAACCAACAATGCTGAACTAGAACAGGACTCCCTGCTTGCTTTGTCAGGGGGAACAACCCCAGCTGAACTTCACACACTGTGTCTTAAGACATACAACAACAACAATAACAACGACAACAACAACAATTGGACGAGTAAAGAAACGCCTACGATGAAGGATTGGCAAAACAAGATATTGGAAATAATGAGTATGGACAGACTCACTTATTGCATAACACCAAACCAAGGCTTACCTAGAAAACAAACTGACTGGGATCTAGTTAAAGACTACGTTAGAAAATTTAAAAAAATAGCTTATAATTTAAAGAAAGAAAAAGAGAACAGAAAATAAAAAAAATATGTTTGCAAGATAAAGACTGTAAGAAAGAGGAAGTAGACGAGTTAGAATAAAGATAGGTTAACTTCCTGGAACATAAATATACAAAGAAGATGGAGTCAAACACCGAGGAGTAGATGGAAGTTAAATTATATATTCTTTATGTGGATTTTCTTTTTTCCTTCAGTCACACCCACTTTTTTTCAATATCCATCCTTTATTCCCTTTTCTTTCAGGCCTTTCTTTTCTTTTTGAGAGTTTATATATTTTTATGTCTTTTTTATCTGAATGTAAAACTTGCTATATGGCATCAATAAAATATTTAAAGTAGTAGTAGTAGTAGTAGTAGTAGTAATAATAGTAATAATAAATAGTTGTTGTTGTTGACAAAAAATGACAGGAAAAACTCACCTGTTATAATGACCTCAAAATCAAACTGCAAAGGCTCTGACATAAATCAGTACAGGTGATCCCAGTGGTAATCGGCACACTGGGTACAGTGCCAAAAGATCTCAGCCAACATTTGGAAACTGTAAACATTGACAAAATCACAACCTGTCAACTGCAAAAGGCCACCTTTACTTGGATCTGCATGCATCAATCGAAAATTCATCACACAGTATTCATAATCATAATAATCTTTATTTATAGGCCACCTGCTCTACTCGAGGGGACTCAGGGTGGTTTACATACAAAAAAGGAAAACATTCAGTGCCCATAAGTGAATGCAGACACTTCAAAAAAATACAGACACCTCAAAATAAAACAAAATAACAACCGTAAACTATAACAAAAGAAAAATTAACATCAAAATGAAAAACAGAATATGAGTAATCAAATAAACATACTGGTAATTATACCAATAACATGGATTGTTGCAGGTTTTTCGGGCTATAAGGCCATTTTCTAGACAAAGAGAAGCATTCTCTCCTGACGTTTAGCCTCTCACAACCTCTGAGGATGCCTGCCACAGATGCAGGTGAAATGTCAGGAAAGAATGCTTCTAGAACATGGCCTTACAACCTGAAAAACCTACAACAACCCAGTGATTCCGGCCACGAAAGCCTTCGACAATACTAATAACATAATTAACAATTAAAAGATAAACTCTAAGGGAACAATTAAATACATAAAAATGGCGATCATGGTTGTTCTTTTAAGTGTACCATAGCAGCAGTGGAATACAAATAAGTTAGCCAGCATTAATCCTCCTCCTCTCCATACACTAAAGTGCATAAGTGCATATTCAGGAGTTTTTGGAAGGAGAGGAGGGTGGGGACCATTTTTATTTCTTTGGGGGGGGGGATTCCAGTGACAGGCAGTGATCATGGAAAAGGCCCCTTCTCTCGTTCCCACCAACCATGCTTGTGACATGGGTGTGAACAAAAGCAGGGCCTCCTCTGTTGATCCAAAGTGCATGAGATGGCCTGTATAGGAAGATGTGATTAGGCAAATAGCCTGGACCCGAACTATTTAGGGCTTTATAGGTAACAACCAGCACTTTATATTTAGTCTGGAAGCAAATCAGTGTCGTCCTCCCACAATATGGTACTCCAGTCAGCAATCAAGTCGCCAATATCTGCACAAGTTGCAGTTTCTGAACGATCATCAAAGGCAGCCCCATGTAGAGAGCGTTGCAGTAGTCCAAACGGGGTGTGACTAAGGCATGGACTACCATGGCCAAGTCGGGTACCTCAAGGTATGGGCACAGGTGGCACACAATTTTCAACTGTGCGAAGGAGCTCCTGGCCACTACCGACACCTGGGGTTCCAGGGTCAGCAATGAGTCCAGGGTCACCCCCAGAATGCAGACCCGTGTCTTCAGGAGGAGTGTGACCCCATCCAACACAGGCTGTAATCCCACATCCTGTTCTGCCTTTCGACTGACCAGGAGTACCTCTGTCTTGTCTAAAAACTAAAGACTTATTGATTGGGTGCATTGTGGCCTATCAACCATTAAAAATGCATTAGACAGCTAATAACATCTGGTCAATAATAAACAAGAATTTGTCACAAGTATTGGGTGGTGCCGTGGGCTGAACCGCTGAGCTGCTGAACTTGCTGACCGATTGGTAGTTCGAATCCATAGAGTGGGGTGAGCTCCTGCTGTTGGCCCAGCTCCTGTCAACCTAGCAGTTCAGAAACATGCAAATGTGAGTAGAACAGGTACCACTACGGTGAGAAGGTAACGACGCTCCATGCAGTCATGCTGGTCACATTACCTTGGAGGTGTCTACGGACAATGGCGACTCTTTGACTTAGAAATGGAGATGAGACGGACACGAGACTTAATGTCAGGGGAAACCTTTACCTTATTTGTCACAATAGCAAAAGAAATGTAAACATTGAAAAGCAGATGCTCATAGCATGAGATGGTAGTCCTCCTCCTCATCCCATAGCAGTGTGGGCCAGCTTGGGCCCTCCAGGTGCTTTGGACAATCTTGGCAACTCCCATGATCAACAGAAAATACTGGAAGGGTTTGGTGGGCACTGATCTTGAGTTTTGGAGTTGTAGTTCACCAAGATCGATGCTTTTGAGCTGTGGTGCTGGAGGAAAGTGCTGAGAGTGCCTTGGACTGCGAGAAGATCCAACCAGTCCATCCTCCAGGAAATAAAGCCCGACTGCTCACTGGAGGGAAGGATACTAGAGACAAAGTTGAAGTACTTTGGCCACATCATGAGGAGACAGGAAAGCTTAGAGAAGACAATGAGTAATAAACAAGGAAAGGAAGAGGGGCCGACCAAGGGCAAGATGGATGGATGGCATCCTTGAAGTGACTGGACTGACCTTGAAGGAGCTGGAGGTGGTGACGGCCGACAGGGAGCTCTGGCGTGGGCTGGTCCATGAGGTCACGAAGAGTCGGAGACGACTGAACGAATGAACAACAACAAAGTTCACCTACATCTAAAGAGCACTGCAGACTCAAACATTGATGGATCTGGAGCAAACTTGACACAAATGTTCCATATAGTTCACCAACAACCAAAGAGCACTCTGAACCCAGCCCACAATGGATCTGCACCAAACTTGGCACACTACCTACATGGCCAACATTGAATACTGGTGGGGTTGGGGGGGGGGGGTGGTGGTGGTGGTGGTGGTTTTTTTGTTGTAATTCTGGGAGCTGTAGTTCACCAACACCAAAAAGGAAGACAAGCACAGGCGGGGTGATCTTCAACCTTCTTAGAGGGCCCTAGTTGGCCCATGCCTGCTACAGAGCTACAGATTCCTGAATTCTTCTGCATGGAACCATGCCAGTTAAAGTGGGGTCAAATTGCACACCTTTGCAGGCACATAGCAATAACAACAAATGCTACTGTAACTGAAAGTGCAAGTCTTTCGTCCACTTGTCATGCTGAAAGGCATTGAGCCCCTCCTCCGGCGGGCAACACGAGTCAACACATCCAGACGTGACGCCCCTTTCCTTTGTCTTCTGGAAGAGCACCAAGGGGGCGGTCCCTCCCATCCTCCCCGGTTGCACTCCCAGCTCCGGGTTTTCCTCCTGCCCCCTCCCCGCCCCTTTCTTGGCTGGTTGCAGCCAAGGTCACACGTTGCGAGTGGCGATTCCTCCTCCTCCTTGCCGAGAAAAGAGGCGTGGGAAGGCAAGGGATGCGAGGAGGGAGGAAGGAACCGTGCCACGCGGGTTGCTGCAAAGTAAGGGAATGCATTTAGTTTGCACAAACATGGCTGCTGCCTTCCGAGCTGCAAACCGTGCCTGGAGCCCATGTAAGTGGATCAGGGTGGGAGGCTGGGGGGGCTGTTGCAATCAATACCCAGGGTCAGATCTTGGGGGGGTTCGCTTTGTGGACACCCCACCTTGGAGAAAAAGCGGGGCAGGAAGGGATGCAGCGCTTTAAACCCCCTCCAGATCCTTTCCTAGCTGGGCATGGGAGCCAGACCAGGGTTTGTGTTTGCAAAAGGAGGGGGAGGATGCTTTTGCAAAGGGGGAGGTGGGGAGGCATGGATGCCGGGGGCTTGACATCTCCTCTGGCGTGGGGTTTCCTTCCCGGGAGGTGGGAGGGCCACAGGAGCCGGAAGCCAGCGTTATGCAAACCTTATTTTTGTGCAAACCCTTGCACCCAGTTTGTGTTACATAAGGGCTTTCTGGCAGCCTGCCTTGGTTCGAAAACAGCCCTCGGAAGGAACTGGTTCCCCCAGTTTTATATAACTCCAAAATCGGAAAAAAATAGAAATCAAAGACTTTGCAAAAGGTGGGTGGGTGGCTTTTGTCAAACTTCTCAACTATTTGGTGAAGGCTGCTGTGAGTATTCCGGGCTGTGCGGCCAAGTTCCAGAAGCATTCGCCTCTGAGGATGCCTGCCATAGAGGCAGGCGAAATGTCAGGAGAGAATGCTTCTCAGACATGGAAAACTCACAACAACCCAGTGATTCCGGCCGTGAAAGCCTTGGACAAGGTGTTGGCTATTTGTTTGAATTCTTCTTTGGTGGTTTCTCCCTTTTCCACTTCTTGTGCATGTCTCTTTGATTCTATGATTCCATGACAAGGAAAAAGGAGTCTGGTTGTATTGAATGCAAGGCAGCACTATAAATCATAGAATCAAAGAGTTGGAAGAGACCTCATGTGCCATCCAGTCCAACCCCCTGCCAAAAAGCAGGAAAATTGCATTCAAAGCACCCTCGACAGATGGCCACCCAGCCTCTGCTTAAAAGCCTCCAAAGGAGGAGCCTCCACCACACTCCGGAGCAGAGTCCCGGGGCAGAATCATAGAAAAGTTGGAAGAGACCTCATGGGCCATCCAGTCCAACCCCCTGCCAAGAAGCAGGAAAATTGCATTTAAAGCACCCTCGAGAGATGGCCATCCAACCTCTGTTTAAAGGCCTCCACAGGAGGAGCCTCCACCACACTCCGGGGCAGACTGGATGGCCATTGGGGTCCCTTCCAACTCCAGGGTACCATTATTACTATTGTTATTTTTGTCATCATAAAGCAGAGTTGTGTGGCCACCTGTTGGGAGGGGTTGCATTGTGTCTCCCTGCCTGGAAGGAGTGGGGTTGGACTGGATGGCCATTGGGGTCCCTTACAACTCAAGGGTTCGACAGATGGTCACCCAGCCTCTGCTTAAAAGCCTCCAAAGAAGGAGCCGCCACCACACTCTGGGGCAGACTGGATGGCCATTGGGGTCCCTTCCAACTCCAGGGTTCCATTATTATTGTTATTATCATCATCAAGCGGAGTTGTGTGGTCACCTTTTGGGAGGGCTTGCATTATGTCTTCTTGCCTGGCAGGAGTGGGGTTGGACTGGATGGCCATTGGGATCCCTTCCAACTCCAGGGTTCCATTATTATTATTATTACTATTATTATTATTATTGTTATTATTATCATCATCAAGCAGAGTTGTTTGGCCACCTGTTGGGAGGGCTTGCATTGTGTCTTACTTCCTGGAAGGAGTCGGGTTGGACTGAATGGCCATTGGGGTCACTTACAACTCAAGGGTTGGACAGATGGCCACCCAGCCTCTGCTTAAAAGTCTCCAAAGAAGGAGCCTCTACCACACTCTGAGGCAGACTGGATGGCCATTGGGGACCCTTCCAACTGCAGGGTTATTATTATTATTATTATTATTATTATTATTATTATTATTATTATTATTATTATCTTCAAAGCACTGTGTAATGGAAGCAAGTTTGTTTTCTGCTGCCCTGGAGACTAGGATGTGGAACAATGGCTTCAAACTACAAGAAAGGAGATTCCACCTGAACATTAGGAAGAACTTCCTGACTATGAGAGCTGTTCAGCAGTGGAACTCTCTGCCCCAGAGTGTGGTGGAGGCTCCTTCTTTGGAGGCTTTTAACAGAGGCTAGATGGCCATCTGTCGTGGGTGCTTTGAATGTGATTTCCCAAATGGTGTGAAACTGCATGAACTCTAGTGTAGATCAGGCATGGGCAAACTTGGCCCTCCAGGTGTTTTGGACTTCAACTCCCACAATTCCTAACAGCCTATCGGCTGTTAGGAATTGTGGGAGTTGAAGTCCAAAACACCTGGAGGGCCCGAGTTGGCCCATGCCTGCTCAAGGCCATACAGAACTGCAGCTGTCATGATTCCATTGCATTGAGCTGTCACAAAGGAGTATCAAACTGTATTAGTCCTACAGTGTAGCTGCACCCTAGCAATCTAGCATTGAGATATCTGGCTTGGCTGCTGTATCAGGCATTCGACTTGTCTCAGAAGCCGTGGAGGGAAACTTCCTTGGCTTGACGCCTGCTAGACATATAGGAAATGTACATTTTCGGAGCACGGGGAAATGTATCAATGTTTTAGGGTGATAGCTGGGGGATTTAGGGAGGCATCCCCTAAAAAGTAAACTTTTCAAACTCAGGGTTTCTAATTTCACTTAGTGTTTCAGCTAGATGTAGAAGCTAAGAGGTTGCTTGTATTAATTATTCAAAGACAGAGCTTAATTAGTCTGGTATATCAATATACAAAGGGATATTTTGGCAGTTTAGACACACACACAAAAATCCCTCCCTGTTAAGGAAATCCCTAAATTTACCCTCCACTGCCACAGTATTAAAGATGAGTGATAATTTTACATGTTTTAAACCAGGCATAGGTGAATGTTGGCCTTCCAGGTGTTTTGGACTTCAACTCCCACAATTCCTAACCGCCTACTGGGGACGACTGGATGTTTTACCATCCTTGTGGGAGGCTTCTCTCATGTCCCCGCATGAGAAGCTGGAGCTGACAGATGGGAGCTCACGCTACTCTCTAGATTTGAACCCATTGCGCCACTGGGGGTTCCAATTTTAGGGTTAATATGTTCACCTAAATATTACTACAGCTTAAGTATCCATTATCCTAAATGCTTAGGGCCAGAAATGTTTCATATTTCATTTTTTAAAATGTATTACTTGCACATACATAATAGAATATATTAGAGATGGGACCCAAGTCTAAACACAATATTATTTCATGTTCCTTGTACACTTTCTTCATGTATCCTGAAGGTTGATTCTTCACAATATTTTAAAAACTTGAATGCATGAAACAAAGTTTGTGCAAAGTTGTCACTCTCCCAGGCACCTATGTGCTCAGTTTTGAATTTTGCAATGTTTTGGATTTTAGTTTCCTGAATAATGGATGCTCAATCTGCATTGTATAATAGTAATAACTCAGTCACAGCTCTTTTCACAATACAAGATTACAGTCTGAAATGTCCCATGATTACCATCTGAAATGACACCTTCTCATGTCCGGGGAGGTTGTCCGGAGTTTTCGGGTCAAGTGTCACCAATTTGCTGATCTTATCCCACTCTGTTACTGCCTTTCCACCCAGTTACAAGGAAACTGTTCTTGTGCTCAACTGGTGCCCGGCAGTTTTATTGACCTGGATGACCAACTGAAACTTAGTCCAGATATGACAGAGGTAGAGAGATTTGGTCTGTGTCGGATGGGCTACGTGCCCCCTGAAAATGTAGATTATTTATTATTATTTTACTGACACAAAAACACAGTATGACACAGCAAAAGAGATACATGTGCTGGATTTCGTATCACAAAATCACAAGTCGAACACTTCCCAATATTATTATATTATATTATTATTTGAAATACAACCAGATGAGTCCATAGTAAACAAGGTCACTTTGCTGGCTGTTGTATTGGATTGCATGTCGGACCCTTCCCAAGTGTCTAGGACTGTGTGATGTATTGGCGAATAATGCGTGCAGATCCCAGTAAGGTGGCCTTCTGCAGCTGGCAGATGGTAATCTTGTCAGCGCCAATTGTGTTTAAGTGCAGGCTAAGGTCTTTAGGCACTGCACCCAGTGTGCCGATAACTACTGGGACCACCTTTACTGGCTTGTACCAGAGTCGTCGTCGTCTTCTTCTTCTTCTTCTTCTTCTTCTTCTTATTATTATTATTATTATTATTATTCTGAAAAGTTTGAAGTCAATGGGAAGCATGTCAGATGCTTATTCTTGATGCTTTCCCTAGAACACTTTTTTTAGTGTAGTAATTTTGCCATTAGTAACCAATATTTTCCTTAGTTTCCCTAGTATAGATGTGCAGATTTCATTCATTTTTTTAAAAGTCTGCCAAATAACATAATTTGCATAACTATTCCTAATTATTCAAGTAATCTGCCAGCAAACTTTTGTCATCATGTTTGTGTTTATGTTGGATGTTTTTGTAGTTCACTGATTTTAAACTATTATTATATACTCTTTTAGTTATGTGTTGTGTTTTATACTTTGTGAGGCTTTGCATTTTGCAATTTATTTTGTTGTGAACCACTTTGAGTCCCCCTTGGGGTAGAGAAAAGCAGTATATAAATGAAATAAATAAGTAAATAACGTCTCAGTTTAGGGGTACTTCTGGAATCAGCTTTGAGCTTGGAGGCTCGGGTTTCAGCAGTGACTGGAAGTGCTATATGCCAACTGTGCCAATCCTTGGAGAAATTGGATTTGCCCACAGTGGTACATGGCTTGGTTAAATCCCATTTGGATAACTTCAACGTACTCTATGTGAGATTGCCTTTGAAAAGTGCTGCGGAACTTCAGTTGACCCAAAGAAGTGCCCTCAGACTGTTAATTAGGGCTGGTTATAGGGAGCACCATGCAGTCATGCCGGCCACATGACCTTGGAGGTGTCTACGGACAATGCCGGCTCTTCGGCTTAGAAATGGAGATGAGCACCACACTCCAGAGTCAGACATGACTGGACTTAATGTCAGGGGACTACCTTTACCTTTTTATAGGGAGCATGCAACCCTGTTGCAACAGCTGCTTTGGCTGCCTGTCTTATTTCCAAGCCCAATTCAGAGTGCTGGTTTTGACCTACAAAGGTTATTTGAAGGGCTGTATTTCCTTGTACAACCCTAGTAGAACTCTTAAGATCCCTTGGAAAAGATTTTCTCAGGCTCATTGGTAGGAATTAGGGATTCTGCTCCCAGATATTTGAACTCCGGCCCTGAAGAGATCAGAGTGACTCTGTCTTTTCTCTCTTTCTGGCAGAAGGTCAAAACTTTTTTTTTACCCAAGGTTTTTGCATATTGACAAAGTTAGGACTTTTATTAAATTTTAAAGGGCTTGCATACAAATAATTTTAATGCCTTTTAATGTCCACTGCTTATATAAAGTGTTCATTTGTTTTTAATTCTTATATTTATACTTTTATTTGTACATCACACAGTCCTAGACACTTGGGAAGAGTCTGACATGTGATTGAATCCAAAATCCAGCATAGTGATCTTGTTTGCTGTGTGCTAATCTTGTTGTGTATCAAATAATAATAATAATAATAACAACAACAACAATACACTCAGTTCTCAACATTCACTGGACCTAGGATCACAGGACTCCTGTGAAAGTGAAAAACTGAATAAAGAAATTGCTATTTTTTTTACCTGAGAGAACACTTCTTTAGAAATGTCTAGTTTGGTAGTCTCCCATCCAAAGGTTTAAGGAGCTCCACTGGCTGCCATTTATTTTCCGAGCCCAATTCAAGGTGCAGGTGCTTACCTACAAAGCCCTGAACGGTTTGGGACCACCCTACCTGTGTGACCGCATCGCTGTCTACGAACCCACACGTTCTCTTCGGTCATCTGGAGAGGCCCTGCTCATGATCCCGCCTGCATCGCAAGCGCGCTTGGTGGGGACGCGAGACAGGGCCTTTTCTGTGGTGGCCCCCCGACTTTGGAATGCCCTCCCAAAAGATCTTAGACAGGCCCCCACATTGGCAGTCTTCAGAAAGAATTTGAAAACCTGGCTGTTCTGATGTGCCTTCTCAGATTAGGAACCCCAATACCAAGTCCTAGAAGCACTTTAGCAGAACCAAGATCATTGCACGCCGCACATTGCACTTACCTTATAATCCTACACTCCTTCCGCCACTTCAGCACTTTTAATCCTGTACCCACTACTCTGGCCGGCCCAGTTTTAAAGTGTCCTGATGTATTGTTATTGTTTGTTGTTTACTTGGCTTAACTGTTTTTAATTTGCTTTGATATTGTTTTGTTGTATTGTGTTTGAGGCTCCGGCCAGTGTAAGCCGCATCGAATCCTTTGGGAGATGCTAGCGGGATACAAATAAAGTAATAATAATAATAATAATAATAATAAAGGTGATTCCTGCTTAGCTTGCCAGATCAGAGAAGAGGATTTGGTGCTGTTATAGTATTTAGGCCATTTATTTTCCTAAAAGCAAACATAAAATCTTGCTGATTGAAATTTTTCTTTGACTTTAAATGTAATGTATCGCAGGCGACTCACCGCTTTGAGTCGCCTGAGGGCTGAGAAAAGCGGTATATAAATAAAGTAAATAAATATGTATATTGTAAACTGCTACGAGCCTTTGGGGAGTGGCGGTATATAAAATTGATTAATAAATAAATAAAATAAAAAATAAAGTTCATAGTCAGGTAATGAATTATCTGTGATTTTCTGTGTTTTCTTTTTGCTGTTCAGTTGCAAAAGGCAGGAGCTGCAGTCGGGCGAGAGTTCAGCTCATTTGGAGATGTCAGTCGACGGCAGCAACAGCAGTCCGGGCCGAAACAACAAAGCCTCAGGTCCAACCTGAAAAGAGGTGGGATTATCCCTCAAGTGAATGTTCAACTGTGCACAAATCACAGCATGTATATGTATGGGCATACTCTAGCCAGAACTTGGAAAATATACTATTGGAGGAGGGACAACAACAATAACAAACATGAAAAAACTTCCAATTGGGGTGGCTATGGGGTCTGTTCTTTGATAGGCGGCTTTGGAGTTGGCAGGGAGGGCAGTTAGCCTGTTGACAAGGTTTCTAGCTTGCATTTCAATAGGTTACCATTCTTATACTTCTTAGCACGCATAGATTAAGTGAGTATAGTAAGACCCCCAAAACTTTGGGACCCATATCCATGGCTTCAGGAGAGGGGGATGTTTTCTCTAGGAATTTGCTAGGTCCTCCAAACAATTCTATGGTAAGAGGATTGCTGTGAGTTTTTCAGACTGTATGGCCATGTTCCAGTGACATTCTAACCTGATATTTTGCCTGCATCTTCAGAGGTTCTGTTGACAGTGAAGCAAGTGGAGAATATATATAGATGCCAGCCACAGATGCAGGTGAAGCATCAGGAGAGAATGCCACTGAAACATGGCTATATAGCTTGAAAAACTCAAAAAAACTCTGTGATCCTGGCCATGAAATTCTTCCAACAATACAATTCGATTGTATGTTTGTTTGTTTTTTCGTGTCAGGAGTGACTTAAGAAACTGCAAATTGCTTCTAGTGTGAGAGAATTGGCTGTCTTCAAGGACGTTGCCCAGGGGACACCTGGATGTTTTTTTATGTTTTACCATCCTTATGGGAGGCTTCTCTTATGTCCCCGCAAGGGGAGCTGGAGCTGATAGAGGGAGCTCATCTGCATTCTCCCTGGATTTGAACCTGTGACCTGTCGGTCTTCAGTCCTGCCAGCACAAGGGTTTAACCCACTGTGCCATTGGGGTTTGTATGCGGAGACCATCTCATTTATATTGAGCCTGTGAACCAAATTTTTGATCCACTGAATGGAACATGGTACAGAAAACAGAAACTTAGAATTCAGAAAGTCTTAATCTAGGGAAGCTAAGAGTGAGGTCAGTCCTGGATAGTTCTTAAGTGAGTTTGAAAGGCACAGCTAGCAGGCATTATACAGTGGTAGAGTTTCTGATGGGCATATTAGCAACCTGATATTCCACCAGATATAATTGAAAAGGCTTTTCCAAGGAGTCATTGTAGACTCATTAGCTTCTGATGTCTTTAGCTGTTAGGAAGTTTCTAATAAAAAATAAGAGGGGACAGATTGGTGGTAATCCAACTCATATCCTTTGCCTCAGTATTTGATCTCAGACATAGAGATGGCTGCTCACGTGATATTAAGCACAGAGAACACAAACGCTTTTTGTTATTGTGCGTATGTGTGCTTGTGCCTTCAAGTCACCTGTTAAAATGGCAATGCCAGCAATTTCATAAGATTTTTCTAACCAAGGAATAATGAGAGGTGGTTTTGCTGTTTCCTTCCTCTGAAATATAGCCTCCCGCACCTGGTCTTCATCTACTAATCAGGCAAATCCTGCTTAGCTTCCAAGATCAGATGGGCTCTGGTGCCTTCAGGGTATTTGGGCTGAATAATACTAATCTTTCTCTCCTTTCTATAGGAAACCCAAAACAGGGATCTTGATGTTGAACATGGGAGGGCCAGAGACTTTAGGAGATGTCCATGATTTCCTGCTAAGACTTTTTCTCGATAGAGACCTAATGACGCTTCCCATCCAGAAGTAAGGAATTATTGCGATATATCTTATTATTAGCAGAAGATATGCTGAAATTGCTTGCTCTTTGTCTTTTGTATTAAATGCTTCTGTTTTAAAAACTGCGAGCTAGCACCCACTTAGCCCCTAATGTGAAGCCAGGCTGACTTAGAAACAACAAGCTGAGATTTTGCATAGAAAGATATGACGTGTGATTTTATAAACTCATAGTTATGAATGTAACAGGATACACAACCCTCTAGTGTAGCGTTTCTCAACTTGGGGATCAGGATCTCTGGGGGGGGGGGTGACAAGGGGGTGTAAGGGGGGGTCCCAAAAGACCATCAGAAAACACAATATTTTCTCTTGGTCATGGGGGTTCTGTGTGGGATGTTTGGCCCAATTCTATCATAGGGGGGAATCAGAATGCATTGTTTTTAACTGCATCATTGCATGTTGTTAATGTTTATTGCTTGTTTTTGTTTTATTTTGCTGTATTGTTGTTGTTCTTGTTTTATTGTTGTATTTGGGCTCGGCCTCGTGTAAGCCGCACCGAGTCCTTCGGGAGATGGTAGCGGGGTACAAATAAAGGATTATTATTATTATTATTATTATTATTATTATGCTCTTTGATTGTAGGCGAACTATAAATCCTAGCAACTAAAACTCCCAAATGTCAAGGTATATTTCCCCCAAAATCCAACAGCGTTAACATTTGGGCATAATTGAGTATTTGTGCCAAGTTTGGTCCAGATCCATCATTGTTTGAGTCCACAGTGCTCTCTGAATGTACGTGAACTACAACTCCAAAACACAAAGTCAATGCCCACCAAACCCTTCCAGTATTATCTGTTTGTCATGGGAGTTCTGTGTTCCAAGTTTGGTTCAATTCCATCATTGGTGGAGTTCAGAATGCTCTTTGATTGTAGGTTAACTGTAAATCCCAGCAACTAAAACTCTCAAATGACAAGATCAATCCTCCCCCTAACCTCACCTGTATTCAAATTTGAGCATATAGGTTACTTGTGCCAAATTTTGTCCAGTGAATGAAACATATCAGATAATTACAATAGCAGTAGCAAAATGACAGTTATGAAGTACTAACGAAAATAATTGTGTGCTTGGGGGGTCACTACAACATCAGGAACCGTATTAAGGGGTCACAGCATTAGGAAGAGTGAGAAGCACTGCTCTAGTGAATTGTCTCTTGTGTTAAATACTTCTGTTGTAAATATGGCGAGTTGGTATCCTGTTAGCTCCAGGATAAGGCTAACACTTTTGGAATAATAAAGCAGGCTAAGGTTAGATGGTCACCATGTTGGGATAGGGCAACAAATTAGTTTCAGTGTATTTTTGGTTGTGGATGCCAAAATATCATAGTAATGCTTCCCTGCTAATGCAGTTTCCCCAGCAATTAGAAACTTTGCTATCTTTGGGTACTATGAATTAGTCTTCTGGTTTAAGACCTTTGGCGTCTTGTTTCAGTCAGCAAATGCCTTTGAGTAACTCTAGGGATGCCAATCATCCCTGAAAACTGAGAAAATTGCAAATTGAATTGGGAAAAATATCCCAGTTGGTTGACCCAACAGCACCTGCTTTCCTTCTTCAGTATCAGAGGGACACACGTATATACACACTTTATCCAAGATGGAGTGGTATCATGCAGAGATGACTTTATTTTTTGGATTTGGTTAAGGATGAATGGAAGAAGAGAAGCCCTAGAACAGTAGTTCTCAACCTTTTTTTGACCAGGGACCACTTTACCATGGACCACTTTGACCAGGGACCACTCTCCAACATAAGTACCAAAGGGATTACGAATCAGTTTTTGGCCAACTTTAGATTTGATTTGGTTATTTGGGGTGCTGATTCAGAAAATTGCATTAGATAGACCACATCAGCTCTAGTTTCTGATACAAAACATATGCCCTCCAGTAGTCTCCATCTGCTCACCCACAGAAAACCATATTTAAAAAGACTCGACACTATAAGAGGGTTTCGCGAGTCCAGTCACTTTTGTTGCAATGGTGTAGTAACAGTGAGGTCACAGACCGTATTTTAGTTCTTGCAGACCTCTGGTGGTCCATGGACCACAGGTTGGGAACCCCTGCTCTATAAGGTATATTTGCTGTGATATAATGGTAGTCCAAGGGCATAGGATAACTTTAAAGTTCAAATAACTACATTTCTGTTTCAAGTCCAGCTCTGTGAACATTATTCTACTGGTTCTCTCAGAAGACTAGTTACTATAGGAAATAAGAGCAAGGATGAAACACAGTGGTAACAAAAAACATTTTTTTTTGTCGTGTCAGGAGCGACTTGAGAAATTGCAAGTCGCTTCTGGTGTGAGAGAATTGGCTGTCTGCAAGGATATTGTCCAGGGGACGCCCGGATGTCTTGATGTTTTATCATCCTTGTGGCAGGCTTCTCTCATGCCCCCGACAAAAAACAATGTGCAACACATATTGTGAATAATTATAATAATTTGTATAATAGGCTAATTAGGATTTGTGGGACTGTAATACGGCAGTTGTAGCTGATCCATCTCTTCATGAACAGTGGCCTAAATCAATCTGATGATCCCAATTGGAGAAGAATTATTAAAGCAATGAGACTGTTGTAAATGTCACTTAACCATTTGACAATTGATATGTTGGGGCTAGCAGTTGAATTTAGAAAGGCTACATGCCCAGCAACAGAGAGTTCAGTTTACAGAGAATAACTGTATTTAGGCTTTTTTAAGCTGGCAAAGGAAGGAAATGTAAGAATGTAATATGTTTACTAAGTGATGTCATTCAATATTTCAGTAAGCTGGCGCCTTTTATTGCAAAGCGGCGGACTCCAAAAATCCAGGAACAATATAGTCAAATTGGTGGAGGATCACCAATTAAGAAGTGGACTGCTACTCAGGGAGAAGGCATGGTGAAGCTTCTGGACGAAATGTCTCCTCATTCTGGTATTTTGTCATTTTCTTCTTTGTTGTTCTAGTTCTTTTATTTGTGTTATGTTGCTGTTTGTATTGTGTTTGAGTGACCTTTTCTTGGGGAAGAGATTCACTGATGTTACCACCTTCTTGGTGACAACTACACGGGATTTATAATTTGTTGAAGTAACAGCACTGTTTGGCAGATAATGTAAAAGACCTTATAAAACTACAGTTCCCATTATTCCACTGCATAGGCCCATGGCAGTTAAAGTGTTATCAACGGCGTTGATTCTACAGCGTAGTTGTGCCCTAATTTGAATAGAAGACACTGTGTTATGTGTTGCAGGTTTTTCAGACTGAGCTTGATTTCAGTTTCAGGTGTTTGGGGGCAATCATTTAAAACACACAATCATTATCACGGGGCCTCCAAAATACACACTGATAAATGCCTTGATTGGCATTTAATAGCCTTGCAGCTTCAAAGCCTGGCTGGTTGCTATCTGGGGGAATCCTTTGTTGGTTGCAAGGTCATTACATGCTAATCAATGTGGCCATTTGCAACATTCACACCTGCCTCAAGCAGATAGTTCTTTCTCCCACCCTGGACCTTCCACAGATATATAAACCTCACTTGCCTAGTTTCCAACAGACCTCACAACCTCTGAGGATGCCTGCCATAGATGTGAGTGAAACGTCAGGAGAGAATGCTTCTGGAACATGGCCATACAGCCTGGAAAACTCACAGCAACTCAAATGCACATGGGTTAGTCAGCTCTTTATTCGTTTGGCTCCATGGAAGGGAGGATTGTTGCTGATAAAATGAAAACTATTTGGATGGGTCAAAGACATTTCCCTTCTTTCTAATGAAAGCCATCCATAACTGAGAATGTCTGGAAAATTAGATTGGTCTGGCTTCCAGTGCTTCATAATTTTTTCTTCATAGAATCATAGAGTTAGAAGAGACCTCATGGGCCATCCAGTCCAACCCCCTGCCAAGAAGCAGGAATATTGCATTCAAAGCACCCCTGACAGATGGCCATCCAGCCTCTGTTTAAAAGCTTCCAAAGAAGGAGCCTCCACCACACTCCGGGGCAGAGAGTTCCAGTGCTGAACAGCTCTCACAGTCAGGAAGTTCTTCCTCATGTTTACTTCTTCAAAGTAAATTTTGAATTTCTGCTCTGGCAGTGACATTTTCCACTCGTTGCCACCTGAAATGCTTGAGACCAGGTCTCTTCAACCTGTGGCGCTTAAGATGCTTGGACCTCCAAGTCCTAGCCAACTTGTTCAATGGTTAGGGGAATTCTGAGAACTAAGTCCAAAACACCTGGAGGGCTGCAGGTTGAAGAAGCCTACTTTAGGCCATGGATGCCAAAACTTGAATCTGGCACTTTCTGTGTGCAAAAGCAAGTTCTATGAATCCTAGCAAAGTAAGAAATTGCTTTGTACTGTACTACAAAATGACCATGCACAAGCACACACACACACACACATGAAGTGGCTTGGGGTAATTATCTAGCAAGCCGTTACTCCTTCCTTATCTGCCATAAATTCCAGGGAGAACCCGTTAACTGATGGGTGTAACTGGCAGCTGTTTCTCTGCAAGAGGCAAAGGAGTGACCCATCCAAATGGAAACCTTTCCAATGCAAGTTGCATAAGTTAGCATAACTCAACCTAGCAGTTGCCTAGTTTCCAACAGACCCCTCAACCTCTGAGGATGACAACCATAGTTGTGGGTGAAACGTCAGGGGGGAATGCTTTTGGAACATGGGCATTCAGCCCAGAAAACTCCAGTGCATCCCAGTGATTCCGGCCATGAAAGCCTTCGACAACCCATATGCATTTTCTCATTGTTTTGTTGTTAATTGAGAAATCACCAAGACAGCTTTTTGCAAACTCTGGGCTGTGGCTTCCTGGATTGAGTCTATCCACCTGGAATGCAGTCTTTGTCTTTTTCTACTGTCTTCCACCTTAAAAACCATTATTGCCTTTTGTAATGAGCCATGGCTGGATTAAAACCACAATCTATATGTTGAAAATATCCTGAACTCAACTCTTGTTTTAATTTTGTTGTGCTTTTTGGTGTGTGACACATGCACTTGTAGAACCATAAGGATGGGACTGGCATGTGTATGAGAGCAAACTGCGACGGCCCTGAAAGATAGGTTTCAAATGCTCCCTTACATTGGCAGGCACATCAGTAGCTCTCTTTAAAATAAAATAAAATGAAGCTTGTTAAGGGGCTGAGGACTCCGGAGCACGAAGTTAATGGTTTTAGGGAGTGTTATCTGCTCTTGTCAGACCTCATCACTCCCTCTTATTTCACAATGTGGTTTCCCAAGCGAAAGCCGCCCTGTCTCTATCTATTTGTACATCCTTTGCATCTTAACTTGGTCTCCCATTACGGCACAGAGGCATCTTCTACCGTGGCTGAATGCTAATGTGTTTTGCTAGTGAAGAGAGACGAGCTCAGACCCATTTCGCTTTTGAGATCTGTTTAAGAATGGATGGCTTGTCTCAGTTTTCCTTCCCCTGTGATTAAAATCAAAAGAAGTTGTCTTACTGGCATCATTCTTAGTCTGAGTCACTGGAAGTGTTTAGCTATAATTTTCTTTGCTTCTGTTTCAAATGTTCCTGGACGTCTTATACTTTACTTTATTTACTTAATTACTTTACTTAGTCAATCCCTCATAGCTCGAAGATGATTGTCTTCCAGATGTGATGTCTTGGCAGTGTGTCCGTAGGTGGCTGTGGAGCCCTATTCTTGACCTGCATGTTCTCCCGCAGTGAGGACATCGGTTTCCAGACGGAAGATGGTCCCAGTCAGGGTTGGCTTGATGTGCCTTCCTCTTGGCATGTTTCTCCTTTTGAATTCTGCAGCACTGCTGGTCACAGCTGACCTTCAGTTAGAGCGCTCAAGGGCCAGGGCTTCCCAGTTCTTGGTGTCTATGCCACAGTTTTTGAGGTTGACTTTTTGCCCTCCATTCGTGCCTCTTTGAATTTTGCAGCACTGCTGGTCACAGCTGACCTCCAGTTAGAGCGCTCAAGGGTCAGGGTTTTCCAGTTCTTTGTGTCTATGTCACAGTTTTTGAGGTTGGGAAGCTTCACATCAACAAGATGAAGTATCATTTTATGAGATCAGAATGAGAACAAATAACTGGCCCAAATTAGCCCAGTGAGTTTCATTGCTAAGTCCCAGGCCAGCACTTTCACTTCCTCTCCATGGTGTATCACTTATATTATTGGTACGAGTAGTATTGCAGAAGAGAAAGCCTAGCAAACAATTACCTTGGCACATGTTGTGAACCAGATCGATTGTTTGTCAGTGGTTAACAAAGAATGAGTTGGAAAGTTGGGCTTTTATCAGATCTTGAGAGTTTTTTCCTTAATCTTTGTTTAACTTTGTTTATTATGACAGGGGGAAAAGTCCTCACTGCTTCACTTAGCACATCTACATGTGTACATCTGTGTGTGTATGTAGTATGTTGGTTCCTGGTCATCTACTAGGCTAGTCAACTTGTAAAAATCATCATAACAAGACTCTTTCTGCATTAAGCCACAATCTATTGTCAGTAATAGACTGTGAGGGTGAACAAATTGAATATCAATCCAGAAAAGGCAGGTGTGCTTCTGGTCAGTTGGCAGTCAGATCTCTTGATGCCTGAGGAATATGGTTCCTTTCTGTGATATCTACAAAATTCGGCTCAACTGACAGCTGAAACTGCTTTCTGGAACATGCTTTTTGCCATTGAGATAAAAGCAATCTAATAGTAAGGTCTGCCCCAGGTTTTCTACTTGTCTGATAGTCTGGCCTGATACATGGTATAGGTTTATATTCCTAACTTCTTGCCTCTTAATCTTGGTGGCACAGCATCTCTCATCTTGATCACTAGAATGCATGTGCTAGTTCGTCATTTGGAAGGGCTGTTTCCCTTACTTTCGTGGATTTACTTCTGTTTTCAGCCCCTCACAAGTACTACATTGGTTTTCGCTACGTCCATCCTTTGACGGAAGAAGCCATTGAAGAGATGGAGAAAGATGGCATCCAAAGAGCTATTGCTTTCACGCAGTATCCACAGTACAGCTGCTCCACCACAGGTGAGTTCATCTCTAAAAGATAGCAGGTGTCAGGCTCCACAGCTGAGGTGTGACCTAAATTGGGGGATCTGCCATGGTGCTGCTTTTATTATGGCTCAGGCTTGGAGTTTGTGAAGTTACAATAAAGAATTTGTCTCTGAGGATGCCTGAATTTTTATTTTTTATTTTTTGCTGTTGAGTAACAATAATTTTCTCTGTGCAGCTGCTATTTGGGGTCCAGGTTAGAACTGCCAGCACTTTTGGAACATTAAAATAGTTCTTAGATTAAAGCATGTCTTTTCATTAAAATCACTGGGGCGAAATTGAGATTTAAGTGTTCATGAAATTCTTGCTCCTCGTTGCATGTTAGAACAGTCAGGGAGCAAAGTCCAGTGTCTTCCTAACACCACGTTAGTATCAGCATTTTTTCATCATCGTGCTATCTGACTTTTTACCACTAACTTAATTTTATTTATTTTTATTTATTTACTTAGTTTTATATCCGTCCCTCTCTCCCTCACCGAGGGACTCAGAGTGGCTACTTTGCTGTCCAGAATCACTGGATCAGTCCAGGTTTATTTGGGTTGTGTTTTCTTCTTCAAAGCTGAATTGGGTCAGTCTGATCTCATGTGGACCTGGATAAATTACTCTGAATTCCCTGATTTGTCCTAGAATTTATCCAGATAGATTGCACAGTCCTTTTAGAAACAGTTGCCTAAAGAGTTCCCTCAACTTACCTTATTACATCTACAGTCTAAAATCAAGTCACTGGGCCACTTAGGATTCTGGGGTAGATAGACCATTGATTTGATCCAGACTTCTACAACCAGATATTCTGTGATATGTGTTTAATTGAGTTCTGATTTGTGTTTTTTTAAGCAGTTTTATTTGTTTTTCTTTCCCATTGGTTCAGTAGTTAAAGTTTATATTATTGTTGTTTTGTTTACCTTAGGGAGCAGTTTAAATGCTATTTATCGCTACTATAATGCAAAGGGGGAGAAACCAAAGATGAAGTGGAGCACAATCGACAGGTGGCCGACACATCCCCTTCTCATTCAGGTATATGAAATTCTTGAGTGAAATTACATCTGAGAAGGTAGTTTTAAAAATAAAGAGGACATAATTGATAAAACACCCAGACTTGTCAAAGGACTCAGGGTACACAACCAACAACACTTGAGGTGTTCTTCAATTGGACTGCAATTCCTGGCACCGCTATCTTGAGTGGTCATGCTAGCTGTGGCTGGTGACAATTGTGTTATAGCACATCTGAAAAGTGCCAAATTAGAGAAAGAAGATGTATGTTCTGGTTTCTTTCTTGCAGTTTGCCATTCTAAGAGATGTTTATCTGACTTCAGTTTACCTAGTGTGCATCATGTCTGTGTATATTTTTATATGAATAATATATCTTCATTTTCATATTCCTGACTTGAATTGGAAAGGACAGGACATTCATGTCTCGATCAGATCGGCAAAATCAAAGGAATATAAGTTATAGTAAAATTCCAGCACCTGTGGAACTCATATTGCGTGTTTCATTTACTTTCTATAGACATTTGTTAGGTCCATTAGCATGGCTTTACTATGTTTTCTTCCCCTGTAAGTTACCATTGAGTCATGCTGGAAGACCTAGCAAATATCTATTTATTTTGTTTATACCCCGCCTTTCTCACCCCGAAGGAGACTAAAGGCGGCTTACAGGTTCCGGTAAAAATTCAATGCTGTATCATAGACATAACAATAATACATACTCTATCAAACTATAAAACAGTTAAAAACATATAAGCAGTTAAACATATAGGTAAAGGTTTTCCTCTGACATTAAGTCTAGTCGTGTCCGACTCTGAGGGTTGGTGTGCATATCCATTTCTAAGCTGAAGAGTCGGCGTTGTCCATAGATGCGTCCAAGGTCATGTGGCCAGCATGATGGCATGGAGAGCCATTACCTTCCCGCCGGAACGGTATCTATTGATCTACTCACATTTGCATGTTTTCGAACTACTAGGTTGGCAGAAGCTGGGGCTAATAGTGGGAGCTCACTCCGCTCTCCAGATTCGAACCGCCGACCTTTCACCTTTCAGTCAGCAAGTTCAGCAGCTCATCTGTTTAACCTGCTGCACATAAAGCAATAAAATAGATTAAAAACATGTAAACATATAAAGCGCCTAGTCTTCATTTCCATACTTATTGATTTTCTATAGTCATTGTTCAAGCTGCTAAGGTCGAATTCCATATCTGCTTTTTCCTGAAGACCAGGAGGGATGGGGCTAGCCTCATGTCCCTGGGGAGGGAACTCTATAGCTGAGAAGCCATCACTGAGAAGGCCCTGTGTTCCCACCAATCGTGTTTGTGATAGGGGTGGGATCGAGAGCAGGGTCTTCCCAGCAGATCTTAAAGCTCTAGTTGGCTCATAAAGGGAGATACATTTGGACATGCTTTCCAGGATGCCCAGGAACATTCATGGGTCTGCTTTAGGTAGAGTTAATCTTGGATTAGTTCATCTATTTTACCTTTGGGTTTTTTTACCTTTGTTTTTTAGTGCTTTGCAGACCACATAGAGAAGGAGCTAACCTTGTTTCCACCCGACAAGAGGAAAGACGTTGTCATCCTTTTTTCTGCTCACTCTCTACCGATGTCTGTGAGTAATCAATCCATTTCTGAAACTGTTTTCTTTCCACAGGAGCGGTAAATTGGTTTATATTGTATAAATTTGAAGCTACAGAAGTTTGAATATTACAGGAATAAGCATATGAAGTAAAAAAAAAGTGTTATGCTTGTGATATTACGAAATCCCAGAGTGTCTGTCTCCCACTCTTCTTTGGGTTTTTGATAGTGTCATAGGATATAGCTCAAGTCTGATCCATTTGCCATTTTGTTCTGCTAAGCTACCCTTGGTTTTTCTTCCATGCAAGGAATGTTTTTGGATCTAGGCCATTGACAAAGGTTGCTTCTTCCGAAAAGAGACGTGGCACAATGTTTAGAGAAAACAAAAAAAAGCAATAAAATAATAAAAAGAAGAGTATGGTCAATAGTGGGTGGTGGCTTTCAACTGTCAGAACATTTGAAGTAAATAAGTATCTAAGGAGCTGAAATTACTTTTGGGTACAAGGTTCAGAACCTTGGATAGCTCTCCATGGTTTTCTCCTACCATAATGCTAGACTATAAAGTTACCCACTGGATTTGAATGGTGGGAGATTTAGGATGGATAAAAAGGGAGCACATATTTATAACAACAGCAGCAGCAACACTTTATTTGTATTCTGCCCTATCTCCCAGAGAGGACTCAGTGCGGATTCCTGCATATAAAGACACAAGGCAAACGTTCAATGCCTCAAAACAATGAAACACAAATACACAGATAAAAGGAAATGCTTCGCCTTCATCTCTGGCTCTGGGGGTAGTGCTCATCTCCATGTCTAAGCCAAAGAGCCAGCATTGTCTGTAGACACCTCCTAGGCCATGTGGCTGGCATGACTGCATAGAGCACTGTTTACCTTCCCATCGAGGCAGTACCTATTGATCTACTCACATTTGCATGTTTTCGAACTGCTAGGTTGGCAGGAGTTGGGGCTAACTTCGGGAACTCACCACGTCCTGCAGATTCAAACCACCAACCTTCTGGTCATATTAACCCGACTGACCACCAATATAGACACCTTTAAAAGGGAATTAAATTCATGAGATGTTTTTATAGAATCATAGAACTGAAAGGGATCCCAAGGACCATCTGTTTCAATGCCCTGCTATACAGAAATGTTCAATTCATTCACTCCTGGGAGAGGGCCAACCAATTCTGTTTCAAGACCTCCAAAGATGGAGAGTCCACCACTGTCAGAGTGAAGAAGTCTTAACAGGTCTTACTGTCAAAAAAAATCTTCCTAATGTTTTGTCTTATAAAGTGAATAAACTGGTTCATATTCTAGTCTCTGAATCAGCATAAAACAAGCCTTCTCCACCCAAGATAAGCCCAACATCTCTTCAGGTATTTAAAGTTGCCTATGTTCTCTTCTCCAGGATAAAATACCCAACTCTCAAAAGCAGTGGTTTCCAACACTTTTTTGAACAGGGACCACTTTGACCAGAGACTACTCTCCAACATTAGTACCAAAAGGGTTACGAATCAGGTTTTGGTCAACTTTAGATTTGGTTTGGTTATTTGGGGTGCTGATTCAGAAATGTGCATTGGATAGACCACATCAGATCTAGTTTCTGATACAGAACACATGCCATCCAGTAGTCATCTGCTTGCCCACAGAAAACCATATTTAAGAATCTAATGCTGATGTGGTCTATCCAGTGCAATTTTCTGAATCAGTGCCCCAATAACTCCAGGAACAGGCCTAAAAACGAAGACACCAAGGTGCCACCGCTTCCAGATGCCACATGGAACGGCTCTGCTCAGGGGGAGGGAGGAGGAGGAGACGTAGTCAAGAGGCTTGTTGTTGTGCCTTTTGTGGGTAGTCAGCCTCTCTCCTCCCAACATCCCTGTTGCCTCGGCACTATAAAAGGGTTTCACGAGACCAGTCGCTCTCGTTGCAACGGTGTAGTAACTGTGAGGCCACGGACCATATTTTAGTTCTTGTGAACCACTGATGGTCCATCGACCACAGGTTGGGAAACACTGCCCTGAAGTATTCCTCATAGGGCTTGGTTTCCGGCCCTTTTGCCATCTTGATTTCCCTTCTTTAGGAAATTTCCAGCTTGACAATATTCTTCATCTCCCAGAATTTCATAGAGGTTACTTGGACTTCTTTGGTTAACATTGCAGCTCCTAAAATCCCTTGCTGACTGGGGAAACCTGGAGATGTTGTCCAAAAAATATAACTCTACCCCCGCTCCACCCCCAGCCCTAGTCTGATATTGCAGCATTTTGGTTTCTGCCTCCCTCTTTTCTGCCAGAAACATCCCATTTCCCATGGCATGGCAATTTAGTAACTTGCATGGAGGCGTCTCGTGACACAGAGAGGAGTTAGGATGCCTGCAGGGTATAAGGTGGATCGGACTGTTCTCTGCAAGGTTTAAAAAAGGTGTCTGCTTGAACTAAATTGCCTGGCAGCGATGGAGCTCAGGCAGCACAATGGGAGCTCTGTGTGAGCTCTCTCAATAAGGTGCCACTCCACAGAGAAAAGATCATAGCTCCCCTGAATGAATGTGGGATGATTCACCTTGGGTAAGCATGGGATTTGAAAAAGAAAAACCTATAAAGATGTTTTCCAGTTGGATTTTCACTCCAGTAGAACAGCCGGTCTAAACACCACAGGTAAACTTATCCCTTCCCTGCTGTTTCCTACAATTTGTATGGCATCAAGTTGCTATGGGATACCCTCACCTTTTCCTCCTCTTTGTTTCACACCAGGGTTAGTTTGTTTGTTTTCTTTTGGTGATTTGTGTATATTTGGTGCCATCTAGTGGTTTTCAGGAGCAGCAAAAGAAGCTGCAATGTTTCACAAAGCTAATTTTCAAAAGAGATAGCTGTGTTTGTCTAGGTATGGAAAGAGGAAAGGAAAAGGAGGCCTGAAGTATCTTTAGGATATGATAGCCATGTTTAAATATTTGCCGTGTTGAAAATGGAGCAGGCTTTCTTTTCTGATCCTTTAGAGCAGGGGTCCTCAAACTTTTTAAATAGAGGGCCAGGTAACAGTCCTTCAAACTTTTGGAGAACCAGATTATAATTTGAAAAGAAAACATGAATGAATTCCTATGAACACTGCACACATCTTATTTGTAGTCCAAAAACACTTCAAAACAATACAATAATTAAAATGAAGAACAATTTTAACAAATATACTCTTATTAGTATTTCAATGGGAAGTGTGGGTCTGCTATTGGCTGATGAGACAAGCCCTATGAGGAGCAGCTTAAGGAGCTGGGCATGTTTAGCCTGAAGAAGAGAAGGCTGAGAGGAGATATGATAGCCATGTATAAATATGTGAGAGGAAGCCACAGGGAGGAGGGAGCAAGCTTGTTTTCTGCTTCCCTGGAGACTAGGACGCGGAACAATGGCTTCAAACTACAAGAGAGGAGATTCCATCTGAACATGAGGAAGAACTTCCTGACTGTGAGAGCCGTACAGCAGTGGAACTCTCTGCCCCGGAGTGTGGTGGAGGCTCCTTCTTTGGAAGCTTTTAAACAGAGGCTGGATGGCCATCTGTCAGGGGTGATTTGAATGCAATATTCCTGCTTCTTGGCAGGGGGTTGGACTGGATGGCCCATGAGGTCTCTTCCAACTCTTTGATTCTATGATTCTATGAGATGTTGTTGTTGTTGTTGTTGTTGTTGTTGTTGTTGTTGTGTGCTTTCAAGTAATTTAAGACTTAGGTTGACCCTGAGCGACGGCCGGGTAAATGACCTTGGAGGACCATATCCGGCCCTCAGGCCTTAGTTTGAGGACCCCTGCTTTAGAGATTAGGACACGGAGCAATGGATTCAAACTACAGAAAAAGAAATTCCATCTAAACATTAGAAATAACTTTTTAATAGTCAAGGCTGTTTGGCAATGGGAGTGTAATAGAATCTCCTTCTCTGGAAGTTTTTAGACAGAGATTGGATGACCTTTTTGGAGTGCTTTGATTGTGGAAGAGTAGGAGTGAGCTGGATGGCCTCTGTGATTGTATCATTTCAGCACAGGCTTTGTGGGCTTCAGCCCAAATACAGCTGAAGAAGTCATCTGTAGTCCACAAAAATAAATTGGTTAGTCTTCAAGGTGCCATCTTTTTGACATACCTAAGTGATTACATAGCGGTTGAGCCTGCAGTTCCAAAGTGTGATGGACACTTTATCTGATGAGCATCCAAGTTAATATTGTTCTTACTAATCCCCAATAAGAATAACATTGGCTTAAAATGCCTTCTGGAAAATTTCCCTAATATTACTTAAAAGTTTATTTATTTTCTGAACGTTGACCACTGTATGGACAAGAAGGCATCACGAGGAAACTTGGAAAACCCCAAGGTTTTCAGAAATACCAAAGCAGAGGAAGACTTAGAAAAAATTAAGAGGGAGGAAACACAGTAAAACGTTCTATAGTGAAAAGCAAGAAATAGAAAAGAGAATACTGGACTCTCTCTCTCTCTGTGTCTCTCTCTGTGTCTCTCCCTCTCTCTATATATATGTGCATACACACACACACACACAGAGTGTATGTCTGTGTGTGCGTGTCTGTGTGTGTCTGTCAGCCAGCTTGAAACAGGTACTGTCTACAGCAGTGGTTCTCAACCTGTGGGTCCTCAGGTGTTTTGGACTACAACTCCCAGAAATCCCAGTCAGTTTACCAGCTATTAGGATTTCTGGGAGTTGAAGGCCAAAACATCTGGGGACCCACAGGTTGAGAACCACTGGTCTACAGTATAAGAAATCCCACTTGTTTCTTGACTATTCAGTGGGCTTCTCTGACTGCTAATAGTACTCAAATGTTTGGTTGTAGACAGCTCCAGATACACAACAAAATACCTTTTTTCGAAATCCATGAAAAGTGGCTTATAGCTTACAATTGGCAATTTTTTTTAAAAGCACTAAGAGGCAATGTGAGAGCCAGTGTAGAATAGAGGTTTGAGTGTTGGACTAGCACTCTGGAACACTAGCAATGTGTTGATAATTTTCTAGATTCTTGCAGTGCTGGTTTCCTCTGGTGTTGATTTTGTTATAGTCTGTTTTACATCATGATTCATTGCATTTTATGATTTTAACCACTGTTTTGTTTAGTTACAAGCGAGCTTTAGCCATTGGGAAGTAATCATGTATAATCCATTTAATACGTGTTTCCATTTTATTCTGTCCATTCGGATGGCACGGTACGAAAGACTCCCTCCCTGAATAAAAATAAACTCGATACGAAAGGCAGGTGGGAGCAGGTACCAGTTCCAAGCCTGCTTTTCGGCATCATAGTTATAGAGAGAAGAGGGATTGCGCTGAAATCTTCATCGGAGATCCTTGGTGTGGAGCTGGTGACTTGCCAGGGCTTGCCCTCTACCGCTTGGCAATCATGCAGGCCCAGAAAGGCCCTGGCAGGCCCTGCACTTTGGGCCTATGCGCTCGGCTGCAGTCCCTGGCAATCCCACACATGTAGGCTCAAAGCGCTAGTACCTGCCAAGTCCTTTCTGAGCCTGCATGGTTACCAAGCAGTGGAGGGCAAGCCCCAGCAACCGCTAAGGAGCACGCCTTACTCTGCGCTTGGCTGCAGGTCCTGGCAGGCCCGTGTATATAGACCCAAAGCATGCGGGCCTGCCAGATCCTGCATGATTGCCAAGTGGTGGAGGTCAAGCCCTGGCAACCGGCATTCAAAAACAAAAATGGAACCATACGAATTAAAGAAACAGAAATGGATAGGTATCCTATACAAATGCATGAGATTATTGGGCAGTATGTACTTTGGAAAATGCACTCACTGTAAATACATATAAGGTGACTGATTAAGGATTCCCCGAGTCCTTAGATTCAGACAACAGCATCTTTATATTGAAATAACATATGAAATCAACATGTCTGTTAGGAACACAGGATGGTATATTTTGTAACGATGGGACCACCACAAAAATGCCACACACTCTGTTTTCAGTCTCTCATTCGCCAATATACTTCATTTTAACCTTCCCGAGTCACATCTTGAATCTGCACAGACCTAGAGTAATAATGGAGAAATTCTGCTGCATTGTCACTTGTAAATAGTTCCCCCAAACCTGAGCCACTTTCCATGAGCAGATGTTGTTTTTTTGCAAACTAAAGCAGTGGTGAGTCTGTTTTCTGCTTCTCCAGAAACTGAAATGTGGTCCGATGGATTCAAATTACAAGAACAGTGATTCCATCTAAGCATTAGGAACAATGTCTTTACCGCAAGAGCAGTTTGAGGGCGAAATTGGGTGCTTTGAAAAGTGATAGACACTGTTTGGGGGAGATCTTTAAGCAGAGATAGACGATTTTTCTGGACTGGAGGACTAGATGGCGTTTGCAGTCCCTTCTAGCTCTATGACTGTATAGGAGGGGGGAAAGCCAAGATTAAAAATTCCCCAACTTTCATTTTCCCTTTTACCAGCACTCATTTTGTCTCAGCCACATCAACATTTTGAGACACTAATGTGCTGGGCTTTTTGGCAAACGGTGATGCAGCAAACCAGAAATGATGTTCCCTGATTATCAATAGATTAGCCTCCTTCAAGGGAAATTAAAATATCTTCCTTTGGAATCAGGAATCAGGGGTGCATTCAAAGCACCCCTGACAGATGGCCATCCAGCCTCTGTTTAAAAGCTTCCATAGAAAGAGCCTCCACCACGCTCCGGGGCAGAGAGTTCCACTGCTGAACTGCTCTCACAGTCAGGAAGTTCTTCCTCATGTTCAGATGGAATCTCCTTTCTTGTAGTTTGAAGCCATTATTCCGTGTCCTAGTCCTCAGGGAAGCAGAGAACAAGCTTGCTCCCTCCTCCCTGTGACTTCCTCTCACATATTTATACATGGCTATCGTATCTCCTCTCAGCCTTCTCTTCTTTAGGCTAAACATGCCCAGCTCTTTAAGCCGCTCCTCATAGGGCTTGTTCTCCAGATCTAATCCCAGTCACAAAAGCTAACTATAATCTAAATGTATCCCTCAACATAGGGGAGATCTACTTGGGTTCAGAAAATACCCTAATTCGATTGTTTATTCTTGTTCATTTGTTTTTACTCTCATTAAATGGGGGGAAATACCCAGTGCAAGTTATTATCTAAACACCCTTAAGCAAGATGGTTAAACAGGCTTTAACAACTTGGATGTTCTAGTCTACTTTGAAAGAATAGATGATTATATTATAAAAAGGTATTTTTTCAAAAACTGTGGTTTTAAATCTTTATGTTGCCATGTCAGACAATTGTATGTTACTGTTCCCTATTTTTTTCTTGTAACTTGTCTTGAAGCTTTATGTTGAAAAGCAGCTTCAAAATATTTTAACTTAAATTATTAAAGCAGATAAGAGGGATTGCATCCTCCCTTGTGAGTGCAGACTCATCTTACATGTGCAGTGGAGCAGGAAATGTTATGTGATGTTTACATTAATCCCAAAGTGGGTTTAAAGACAGATTCAAAGTTAGGACTTGCATTATTTTTTTACAGGTAGTGAATCGCGGCGATCCATATCCACAAGAGGTGGGAGCCACTGTTCAAAGGGTTATGGAGAAACTCAAGTATTCTAATCCTTACAGACTGGTTTGGCAGTCCAAGGTATGCGATTGGGTGGAAGTTTCACAGTTGTTTCCTGCAACTCTGCATCTGTTCTGTTCATTCACCTTGTTACCTGCAACTGTTAATGGATTTTGCACTAGTCATCTGTATCATGCGCAAATCAAAATTGTTCTTGCCTAAATCTCATTTTAAAATCTAATTCTAATGTACTGAAAGACCACACTGTACAGTTCTGGCATGGGACCAATACACCAGTGGTTCCCAAACTTTTTTTGACTAGGGACCACTTCACCAGGGACCACTCTCCAACATTAGTACCAAAAGGGTTATGAATCAGTTTTTATAGAATCATAGAGTTGGAAGAGACCTCATGGGCCATCCAGTCCAACCCCCTGCCAAGAAGCAGGAATATTGCATTCAAAGCACACAGATGGCCATCCAGCCTCTGTTTAAAAGCTTCCAAAGAGGGAGCCTCCACCACACTCCGGGGCAGAGAGTTCCACTGCTGAACAGCTCTCACAGTCAGGAAGTTCTTCCTCATGTTCAGATGGAATCTCCTCTCTTGTAGTTTGAAGCCATTGTTCCTTGTCCTAGTCTCCAGGGAAGCAGAGAACAAGCTTGCTCCCTCCTCCCTGTGGCTTCCTCTCACATATTTATACATGATTATCATATCTCCTCTCAGCCTCCTCTTCCTTAGGCTAAACATGCCCAGCTCTTTTAGCTGCTCCTCATAGGGCTTGTTCTCCAGAACCTTGATTATTTTAGTCACCCTCCTCTGGACACATTCCAGCTTGTCAATATCTCTCTTCAAATATGGTGCCCAGAATTGGACACAATATTCCAGGTGTGGTCAACTTTAGATTTGGTTTGCTTATTGGGTGCTGATTCAGAAAATTACATTGAATAGACCAAAGCAGCTCTAGTTTCTGATAACAGAACATATGCCATCCAGTAGTCGCTATCTGCTCGCCCAGAGAAAACAATATTGAATAAGCTAGAGCCGAAATTATCTATTTAATGCTATTTTCTTAATCAGTACCCCAAATAACCTCAGGAACAGGCCTAAAAACAAAATCACCAAAAAAAACAAACCCATATATTTTTTTGGATTGGGCTATGTTATTATTCGAGGATTTTGTTAACGCTCTTCATTATAAGAGGGCTTTGCAAGAAGAGTTGCTTCCATTGCAATTGTGTAGTAACAGTGAGGCCGCAGACCATATTTTAGTTCTTGCGGACCACTGGTGGTTTGCGGACCACAGGTTGGGAACCACTGCAATACTCCATATAGGTATGGGATGAAATGGGAAATGAATCTTTCCATACTTTGCATCATCAGGCATTGAATTATTGCCATAGTTTGTAAGCCACCCTGAGTCCCCCATCAGGCATGAGAAGGGTGGGGTATAAGTATAGTAAATAAAATAGTGGTTCCCAACCTTTTTTTGACCAGGGATCACTTTGACCAGGGACCACTTTGATCAGAAATCACTCTCCAAGATTAGTATCAAAAGGTGTGGGGTTGGTCAGCTCTGCAGAAAGGAGTAGAAATAAATAAAGAGGAAGGAGGTTCACGGACAGGATTTTCATTCTCGCTGCCCACTGCTCACTGCTCTCTCCTGACGTTTCGCCTGCATCTATGGCAAGCATCCTCAGAGGTAGTGAGATCTCACACCTCACTACCTCTGAGGATGCTTGCCATAGATGCAGGCGAAATGTCAGGAGAGAATGCCTCTAGACCATGGCCATATAGCCCGAAAAAACCTACAACAACCCAAAGTTGTTGTTGTTGTTGTTGTTGTTGTTGTTGTTATTATTATTATTATTATTATTATTATTATTATTATTATTATTATTATTATTATTATCATGCTAGCTTTCTGTATGAAAGGGAGTTTCTTTCCTTTGTGAGCTTGCAAGCATTGTATACTTACACCACAGAGCGGAGTAGCCCAGTCTTGTGCTGCCTTTGTTTGGTTTGGCATGTCTTGGGCAGGGGAACTTCATGTTGGAGTGAGTCCATTATCTCTTCCTTCTAGTTGTCTTCTTATCTATCTTATAAAACCTTCCTTTCTACTGTAAAACACTGTATATGTTGGCCCTGCTTAAATAGCAGCAAAGAACAGGTTGATGCCTGCCATTCTCATTGCCTCTTTGTTCTAGGTTGGTCCTATGCCCTGGTTGGGTCCTCAAACAGATGTGACCATCAAAGGGCTTTGCCAGAGGGGAAAGAAGAACATATTGTTGGTTCCGATAGCGTTCACTAGCGACCACATTGAAACCCTCTATGAGCTGGACATCGAATATGCACAAGTTTTAGCGAATGAGGTAATGTTATTCACTGTTTCCATCCAGTAACCTTTTTTAGAACAGGATCACATGAATCAGAGAGCGAAGGCTTCATTCAGCCTTCTCTCTCTATTGCCTTTCAGATATTGTGGGTCTTAATCTTGCAATTGGCAATGTTCTTAGCCATCAAGACATGGAAGGAAGTAAGGTGATCTTGATTACTTCTTGATTACTTTATTTTTGAATAAGCTTTGTTGTCCCCCCGCCCGTATCCAAGGATTCACACATCCACAGCTTGAAAAATCCTGATTTTGCTATTTTATATTAGAAACACTATGTTACTGTGCTATCCTATATAATGAGACTTGAGCATCCAATGCTATTTTTTTATCATGTCAGAAGCGACTTGAGAAACTGCAAGTCACTTCTGGTGTGAGAGAATTGGCCGTCTGCGGGGACGTTGCCTAAGGGACGCCTGGATATTTTACCATCCTGTGGGGAGCTTCTCTCATGTCCGTGCATGGGAAGCTAGAGCTGACAGACGGGAGCTCACCCTGTCTCTCAGATTCAAAGAGCTGACCTTCATGTCAGCAGTTCAGTCGGCACAAGAGTTTAACCTATTGCACCACTGCAGTTCCTATCCAAGGATATTGATATTCATGAAGGGCATGGAATCAAACACCAGTGGATAACGTAGGGCCCACTTTATTTGTTGTTGTTCATTCGTTCAGTCGTTTCCGACTCTTCGTGACTTCATGGACCAGTCCACGCCAGAGCTCCCTGTCGGTCGTCACCACCCCCAGCTCCTTCAAGGCCCATCCAGTCACTTCAAGGATACCATCCATCCATCTTGCCCTTGGTCAGCCCCTCTTCCTTTTTCCTTCCACTCTATTTAGAATCAAAGAGTTGGAAGAGACCTCATGGGCCATCCAGTCCAACCCCCTGCCAAGAAGTAGGAATATTGCATTCAAATCACCCCTGACAGATGGCCATCCAGCCTCTGTTTAAAAGCTTTCAAAGAAGGAGCCTCCACCACACTCATAACTAGCGTTTCATCCAAGGCTGACTTCTAAAGCAATTTGCAGTAGCTAAAATCCACTGCAATAATATATTTAAGAAGGAAGATGTCTTCTCGTGTCTAGCCGTTAATGCCATATTCCTGTGGGTGTCAATACTACACAGTAAAAGCATTTCTGTCATTTTCTGTAGAAAAGGAGTAGAACTGTGCAGTGAGGAATTCAATGCACCTCAGACTACAAACCCAGGATTCCATTATTTATTTATTTATTTATTGTGTCAGAAGTGAATTGAGAATACAGTTATAATGCATGAAAAAAACCCTCAAAGTTAAAAACTTGGTATTATGCCAAATTTCCTTAGACCAGAAGCTCGTCAAGTGCCTCTGGTGTCGCTGTAAGGAGGTCCTCCATTGTGCATGTGGCAGAGCTCAGACTGCATTGCAGCAGGCGGTCTGTAGTTTGCTCTCCTCCACACTTGCATGTCGTAGACTCCACTTTGTAGCTCCATTTCTTAAGGTTAGCTCTGCATCTTGTGGTACCAGAATGCAGTCTGTTCAGCGCCTTCCAAGTCGCTCAGTCTTCTGTATGCCCAGAAGGGAGTTTCCCATCTGGTCTCAGCCACTTATAGAGGTTCTGGGTTTTAGCCTGCCACTTTTGAACTCTCACTTGCTGAGCTGTTACTGCAAGTATCTCTGTAGATCTTAGAAAGCTGCTTATTGATTTAAGTTGTTGGCATGCTGGCTGATATCCAAACAGATGTCAATGCCTTGGTCCTTTCATTGCTGGCTGCTACTTCCCAACAGATATCAGGTGGTGCAAAACCTGGTAAACAGTATAATTTCTCCAGCGGTGTTGAGCGTAGACATCCTGTGATAATGTGGCATGTCTCATTGTGAGCTTTAACATAAGAATTAGAAACACTTCATCACGTTTGCAGAGATGGCATGACAGGTGGGCATAAAGCTGATGCTACAGTGTGGAGTGAAAAGAAGGCATCTCCCTAAGTTCAGTCTCATGACATTGTTTGCAAAAAATAACCATGTAGTTTAGTTGCCTCATCAAAGCAGCACGGAAGTGGAAAAGGCCGCTTTCATGTAGATAAAGGAAACCCAGTCCAAACTCCTTCATTTTTTTCTTACTCTCTGTATTGACCTTGAAGCAGAAGTGTCAGGCCCAGCCAAAGCCATGTTCAGAATTGACATGTCTTAACTGGTTTCCTTCTCCTCTCTTTCTTCAGTGTGGAGTTGAAAACATCAGAAGAGCAGAATCCCTTAATGGAAATCCATTGTTTGCCAAGGTAATTGTACTCCATGAGAGAGAATCCAGGTTCCTCAAGGAAGCTGTTGTTGGTGGGCCAGAAAAACAGGGAAGGGGGAGGTGGGTAAAATAAGGGCATTGCTCCCCCCAAAAGAATTATGTCCCCCTGAAAATAGATTTTTTTCCCCTTTAATCCCCAAATTTCTACCAATGCAGAGTATGAGAAATTGGAAACCATTCACACCTAAAAGCTGTTGTTTGGTTGTACAATATGGCAAGCTCTTATTTGGTTGCACCGTACAACCATGGATATTGGATAAAATAATAATAATAATAATAATAATAATAATAATAATAATAATAATAATAGGATTTAAAGATAGAACTGCAAAACTCTGACACAAACCAGTAAAGGTGGTCCCAGTGGTGATCGGCACACTGGGTGCAGTGCCTAAAGACCTTGGCTTCCACTTAAAAACAATCGGCACTGACCAAATTACAACCTGTTAGCTGCAAAAGGCCACCCTACTCGGATCTGCATGCATTATTCGCCAATACATCACACAGGCCTAGACACTTGGGAAGTGTCCAATGTGTGATCAAATACACAAGCCATCATAGTGATCTTGTTTGCTATGTACTAATTTTGTTGTGTATAAAATAATAATAATAATAATCATCATCATCTACTTCTAACCCACACCTCTCTCCCCGAAAGGACTCAGGGCGGCTACCAAATATAAACAAAAACATGGCAAACATTCAATGTCATAAAAATAGAAACAAAACAATAACATTTACACATTACAACAGAGAACACGACTTTGGCTAAAAGGTTATCAATCAGTCAGGCAGGCATCATTGATTGTACTGAACAGTTAAATCTATATAAAAATATAGTTCTGAAATATATACACACACACACACACACACAATGAATGTAAAATAATGAATAAATGAAACCATGTGTCCATGGTTTCATTTATTCACGTTTGACAAAATGTACCTTTTCTAGGCATTTTGTAAGTCCTCCAGTGCGACACCATATTATTCTTGTGTCAGAAGTCTTTCATTTCGATAGGGTTTAATTTTTGTGCAGGTTAATAAATCCATACAAAGTCCAGGAATATATTCCATATGGATGTGGGGGTCATTACTTGATTTGCATTCCCCTGAAAACTTCCCCTGCCTCTTCCTTTGGAGGTCTGAACAGTATTTCTATATTGTATCGGGGTGAGAAGGGCGGAGTATAAGTAAATGAAATAAAAATAAATATTAGGTTACTGCAATGCTAGAAATTTGAGGACTGACAAAAATCATGGGTGGGGGGTGGAGGTGTTGCACCTCAGAATAGATTCACTTTGCTGAAATCACTAGAACTGCACACAGACTGAAGTTTTTGTAGTTTATTAAAAAGTAAAGATGCAAAGTTTAAAAAGCAAATAATGTTCCAAAGATCAATAAAACATAGCACTGTAAAGCAGAATTCCAAATGGCACCAATGAAACAAAGTCCCATGAAAACATGACAAAATCCCAAGGACATGGACACAGGAAAACGAGCACAAGCTGCTTGGTTGACCGAGACGTTGCTCTGACAAAGGTTTGTTTTCAAACACACTGCTCGATACGCTTTGCAATACATGAAAGCATTTCTTTGGCCTCTGACCTCCTTCTTGTTGGCTATTCTCACACTCCTTTGAACTCTGAATTCCAAACAGTCAGCCCGATCTAAGATTCCCATTTCATCAAGGTCAGGCTGCTTGTTAATGTCAGCCTAGTTTCCTTCCTGCCTACTATCAGGCTGAGAACTGTCCTCCTTTTCTGAGTCAATTTGCACCTGACTCATTTCAGTATCAAAAACATCATTCCCTCCTGTGGGAATCTGAACTTGCACACCCTGTTCCTCATTGTCTACAACAGGAATATTTTGAACCTGATTGTGAACCTGAATCCCACCATTCTCGTCAGAGTCACTCTGAGACCCCATCTGAGTCACAACAGTATCTGTTTGTGTCTGTGGTTCCAGCTGAGGAAAGAAGTAATTTTTGAGTAAACAATTTAAAAATATATATTTGAATTACAATTATGTATTTTTTTTGCCACCACTTTCTTTTACATTTCCTGTACCTAATTTCTCCTCCTTGATTCAAAGGAGCTGCCTTTTCTGCAGCTTCTTTTATGTTGAATATCAGCTGATTCAGGGGCCTTTATTCCTTCAGAGTAGACTCACTGAATCATTGCTATTTACATAAGTGTTAACTTAACCATGTAGCAATTGATGCAGTGGGGGCCTATCCATATTGAGGCTAGCAGCTGGATTTAAGCCAGTCGGTCAATCATCCGGCTTTTAGAATTACGGCAGCATGTCCCTCAGCAATTATGTTACAGAGATGATTTTTTAAAAGGATAAAATGCAATGAAATAACAATACTTAAAATGAAAGCTGTACCTCTGAGAGGATGCACAGAAGTTATTTCCCTGTTTTTTATTCTGTTATTGAACTGGCATTCTGCAGCCAAGTTCTGAACATGCTGGCTTTGTTAAAAGATTGCCAAACAGGAACAAGGGAGGGCCTCCAAACAAGCAAAGCAGCAGCAGAAAATCTAAGGAGGAAGTATCTCTCATACATATTTACTTGCATAAGGCATTGTAGTGATACTCTATTGCATTATATTGCATATAGCTTTGCCTTAGGGTCACTATAAGGCAAAGCTATCACTCTGTCACTCCTTTCCACCTGCTGCTAAAGAGGCTGTCCAGGTCCTGAACTGGTGCTTGGCAGCTGTGATGGTCTGGATGAGGGCAAACAAATTGAAATTGAATCCAGACAAGACAGAGGTACTCCTGGTCAGTCAGAAGGCCAAACAAGGTATAGGGTTACAGCCTGTGCTGGGTGGGGTTACACTCCCTCTGAAGACACAAGTTAGCAGCTTGGGAGTGATCCTGGACCCATTGCTGAGCCCGGAGCCCCAGATTTCGATGGTGGCCAGGAGAACTTTCGCACAATTAAAACTGGTGTGCCAGTTGCGCCTGTACCTTGAGAAGTTGGACTTGGCCACGGTGGTCCATGCTCTTGTTACATCAAGAATAGATTACTGCAATGTGCTCTATGTGGAGTTGCCTTTGAAGACTGTTCAGAAGCTTCAAATAGTCCAGTGAGCAGCAACCAGGTTACTCATTGGAACGGGGCACAGGGAGCACCCCCCCCCCCCCGTTACGTCAGCTCCACTGGCTGCCAGTCTGCAAAGTTCTGGCTTTAGCCTATAAAGCCCTAAACAGTTCCAATCCAGCTTACCTATCTGAACACATCTCCCTCTATGAACCAACTTGGAGATTAAGATTGTCTGGAGAGGCCATCTCTCAGTCCCACCTCCTGCGAGGTGGGAACGGGCGATAGGGCCCTCTTAGTGGTGGCCCCTTGGCTATGGAACTTCCCATTGAAATTAGATCGGCTCCCTCCCTCCTGACTTTCAGGACCAATAATCATTTAGTGCAATAAGTAAATACAGATTCGTTCAATGATGACTGGAATGGCCTGATATTTCTTGTTTTAATGTATACATTTATTTTACTGTATGTATATTTTATGCCATTGAATTTTTGCCTGGCTTTGAGACTGCTTTGAGTCTCCTTTAGGGTGAGAAGGGTGGTATACAAATGAAGCAAGTAAATAAATAAATAAATAAATCAGAAACAACTTGTAGCAACTAATATCCTATTCACACTTCTTTGATTATTTGTTTTGCGTTTTCTCCCACTGGGTATTCTGATATTAAAGATTCTGAATTCTCAAGCACAGATTAACCCAAAATTCACATCCTATAAAAGAACTTGTACAAGAGTTTCAGATTTTTTTTCTTGTGAGTACTACCTTGCTTGAGCAGGGATAAACTTAGCTTTACTTAAGCCTTTTCTGTTTTCTGTTTCATACACAGCATCTGAAGAAATGGGTTTACATCCATAAAAACTTGTGCTGAACTATTTTTTACATTCATTGTGTGTGTGTGCGTGTGTATGTCTGTGTATACTCATATATAGAGATCTGATAGATAAGACACAGGGCTGTGTGTGTACATGCCTTTTGGGTAGCACCAGCTAGGGTAGATTCATCTCATTAGTAGTTGAAAAAAATCCATGCAGAGCTACACTTTGACATAGCTTCACATCTGAATTGTGCTTTTGCAGCTCTTTATTCCAAGTATCTTTAATTTGAACATCTGTTGGTTTTTCAGGCCTTGGCGGAGTTGGTCTTCTCACATCTCCAGTCAAACGAACTATGTTCCAAACAGCTGACCCTGAGTTGCCCGCTTTGTGTGAATCCCACCTGCCGAAAGACAAAGTCGTTCTTTACCAGTCAAGAGTTGTAAAGGGCCATTTGGAGAGGGATAATTTGCCAGAGATTCTGCAAAGTCTCCCTTTCTTTTTTCTTTTGCTCTTCACATAAGACATGTTGCTTCCTTTGTGGAGTGGGTCCCAAGCCTGGCAAAAGAGGGATGGGTTTGCCTGGGTAAAAGAGGGGTGGATATGAAATATTTTTCATTTCCTTTCTTCTTCCTTCTCCTTATTGGTGGATATTGCATTGGAAGGGAAGTAACGTTTCAAGGGCTTCTTTCTTTGAGTTGCTGACAAAACTTGTCTTCCTACCAAACCGGTTCTCCCTGGCATCAAAGAAGCAACAGGTGCTCAAATATTATAATGCACCTGATCCAGATTGTTTACCGTGAACTGCATGTGAAGATGTAAGTTCTGGAAATATCGCTGAGCCAAATAACCAACTAGAGGGTTTTGGCTTGCAGGAATTGATGCCTCCTTTGGACTGGTTTGATTTACTTCTAAAAGGACAACTCCAGAGGTTTTGATCTGAGGATTGTAATCCAGATGTCTTTGCAGAGAGATCTTAATATCGAAACTGTGGGGAGGGGGATGCTTTTTTGGACATCAGCGCTCACATTTGGGGAGCTATAGGCCAAAAAAAATGTTCTTTCCCCCAAGCTTTCTTTAATATGCACTTGCCATAAAAAAATTCATGTCAGTCGTTCCAAGTGCGAGACTACTATTCTTGTTGTTTCATATTGTTTAAACACCCTGGGCTCTGTAGTTGGTGCACTGACCAGAGTGCTTCTGCTGTTGTTGTTTTGTTTTCAAATGGGGGTTTAATGATCAACCGATGCCATTAAAAGAAAGCAAGAAACATAACCCATTTTACATTTAGATTTCTTTTTGTTGGGTCCTTTTCTTTCCCCAGTGCAGAATGTATGTGAGTTTAGCAGAACGTTACCACTTGGGCAATAGACTCCAAACTACATTTATTACTTGGCCTACACTTAATTTTATCCTAGAAATTTCAATTTTATGTCTCAATGTCAGTAATTATATGAGGTCTGGAGTGTTGGTTGTGGTAGGCTGGTGAATCTACTCTGTTATTTAAAAAATAAGTATTTAAAGTGTTTTTGTGGAACTCTAAGGTTCCCCAGAACACAGTTTGGGAACCATTGCTCTATTGCTGTGGTAGGCTGGTGAATCTAATTTGGCTTGTTTGTAAATATCTATCTTCAAGATAAATCCAGCAGCTTGGACTAAAGCCCAGAAGAGACTCGTCCCACTAACATGGAAGTTCATCTGCGATTGAGAACCTTGTTAGTGTGCATCTTGATGGGTCAGCTTCTATGATGAGAAACTCCAACCAATAAAGCATCATGGTCATTGTAGTCCAAAGCATCCGAAGGATCAGTGTTTCCATCCATATTGTATCTGATGCTGAGACTAGTTTCAGTTGACATTCTAATGAGAGTCTTCTGAGAGTGAAGTTCTATTGGTGATCTCTTCATAGGAAACTTCCATGTGCATCTGTTTTAGCCCATATGAATTAACTGGTTGTTGCTATTGTTGAAAATGATGATAATAATAATAGAACTGCAAAGACTGACACAAGCCAATAAAGGTGGTCCCAGTAGTGACCAGCACACTGGGTGCAGTGACTAAAGTCCTTGGCCTGCACTTAAAAACAATCGGCGCTGACAAAATTACCATCTGTCAGTTGCAAAAAGCCACCCTATTCAGATCTGCACACCTTATTTGCTGATACATCACACAGATCGAATATAAAAGCCAGCATAGTGATCTTGTTTGCTGTGTACTAATCTTGTTGTGTATCAAATAATAATAATAATAATAATACTTTTATTTCTTACCTGCCACTCCCCATGGCTCAAGGCAGGTCACAGCACAATCCAAAACACACATACACACATACACTTAAATTCATCCTAATGGTTGTTCTCTTTCATGCACAAGAGTGTAGATGGATGTGCAAACCAACAACATTGATTGGTAATCTTCCCATTGCCCAATCTGTATGGATATTTGATGAATGCAAATCAGTAAAAGACATTTATATATTACCTGTTTAATGTGCATAATCTCTGTAAATGTATGTTGCCCAGAAAATATCCATTGTCTCCAGGGGGAAAATGTGCAGAGTTTGTGCCAAGTGTGATATGCAATTATTCATTTGTGCACTTTCTCCAGCTTTACTTGAAGATGATGCATAGAGTTTGGAGATTGTGGCAAATCCACATTCTCCATGGTGTTTACAACCATTGGTGTTTACACACCACTTCTACTACTTGAACTAGCATTAACCTGAAAGTATTTATGTATCTCATAAGTATGGCTTTTGTCTCTGCAACTGGAGCTGGGAAATTCAGGCTTCACTTAAGAGATTGTCATGACTATTCCAATTTTCAAAAATCATTTACAGACAGGTGTTAAACTAGTAATCTTTCCTGTCCATTGGTTCTTGTGTTTTTTAGAAAATCCAGTGAGGGATATTGTTGGTCAGGAGAGCTTGTTTCATTGTTTGATTAATAGGAAGGAGCTAGCTTGCCATTCCAATATTCAGCTTCAAGATTTGCTGGTGAATGTGGATATTTTCTGCAATTCTTTAAGAGCTTTTATGATTGAAAGAATTAAAAATACATTTGGCCCTCCAGACCTGCAGTTTTGACTTTTGTGGATTTGATCATGCACCGATTTAATGAATAGGTTCTATCTTGAAATCTGTAGCTTTTCCAGTGTGACTCTATAGCTATCTCTAGTTCTTCGGAGGTGGCTCTATAGACCTCTTCCACCAGTGGTGACCTAGAGATTCCTGGAGAGAACACTTCTCTAGGTATTTGCAGGTCTCCCAGTGGGAAGAGTCTGCGATCATCTTCAGGAGCAGTGTTGACCATGGAGTCCCACTGGAGTAACTAGAGCAGTGGTTCTCAACCTGTGGGTCCCCAGGTGTTTTGGCCTACAACTCCCAGAAATCCCAGCCAATTTACCAGCTGTTAAGATTTCTGAGAGTTGAAGACCAAAACATCTGGAGACCCACAGGTTGAAAACCACTGACCTAGAGATTCAAAGACTCAGCGAATCTGGAGGGCACTCTGTATTCATTTGACATTCCAGCGTGAACAACCACATGTACAGTTTGTACATTGATTGAAGTTCCTCAAGAAATTGAACCATTGATGTCAACTGCGGCTGGAACTGACATTTGTCACTTCGATACAGCATGGGGCTCCTGCATAGATCCTTAACCATCTTGCTAAGGGCTTCCTTCTCTTTGAACAAGTGAGATACAAGGTTGTACTTCAGAGCTGCTTTATAGATCTGCTTATCGCTTTCCAGATGTCAAGCTGTTGTGGTTTTTGTGGGATTTCTATGAATGCAAATTGATCTGGATTTAATTCATGTTGTCAATTAAAACCCCAAATGATCTATTAGATTCTTCTTGTGTGTTTATGTTTTAAACTCATACTGAATGCATGAGACGGTTTCTGGCAAGCTTGTACCTCTTGTCATTGGCAGCCAGTAAATTGCAAATCTCTTAAATTCGGGGGGAGGGGGGTGGAGGGTAGGGGAGGAGGATGGGTAGGAGTTTTATGCAGCCTTTCTGTTCTTTGGTCAGATGCAGTTTGCTTTAGAACAGCCAGCATAGTTTGAGTGTTGGAATAGGACGCTGAAGGCTCAAGGTTCAAATCCTTCGGTCACTCGAAATTTGGGCGGCCTTGGGCAAGTCACACTAAAGAAATAAATAAAATTGGTAGTTTTTTAGACACTCTTTTTTGCTCTTCTTGAAGACGGGGAAAACATTCTCACTCCTCCACTCTGCTTGAACATCTCTTGTCCTCCAAAGAATCCTTAAATACTATCAGAGATTGCATTTTAGTACAAAGTGCTTTTAGTACTTTTGGATGCAGTTCATCTGGCCCGGATTTATACACATTACTGAGTATCATGTCTGCAAAGAGATTTAAATGTTTAAAGTGCTATATAAAAATTATAAACATTATTGTGATACTTTCATTTTGGCAAATGGATTCCGTCCAGTAATATCCAACCAACTCTTTTCCAAAGTTGTATTGTCTGTGACAAGGGTGACTTCATACAACTACTAATGCTGGTCCCCATAGATATTTAATGATTGCTGAGTTCCCATGAGTTCTAATTTTAGATTGTAGGGAGTGTTGAGTGAGATGGAACTTGGCCAAAATGTTCTTGGGGGCCCTCCATCCCTGAAGAAGTTCATCACTTTCTCTTTTCATTACTTATTCACTCATCCCTATCCTTTTCTTTATCTGGAACCCCGACTATATGGTGTAAGCCAAGTGATGGAAGCTATGCCTTCTACTCCTCAGTTTTGTCTGTCACTAGAGAAGGTAGGTGAATAGTCTAGGATGTCAAACAGGATCAGCAGAATGTAGACCATGTCAGGAGACCCCCAGAATATGTGCAGAATATATCCTCCTTTTTTTCCTAGCATAGGACACAAAGCAGATAATGATAAGTGCCATTTTTGAGAGACAGGTGCTGAGATCTCATTCCTTAAAATGAATCCATGAATGCCACAAAGGTCTCCCACACTACATGCAATTAAACTGCTAGCTGCAGAAGGTCAGTAATTCAAAGCCATGGGTCAGGGTGAGCTCCTGCTGTTAACCCTAGCTCCTTCCAACCTGGCAGTTCAAAAACATGCAATGTCAGTGGATCACATTGGATGGAACCTTGGTGGGAAGGGAAAAGGTGCCCATGCAGCCATGCTGACAAAACACAACTAGGAGAGTCTACGGCAGTGATTCTCAGCCTTTGGGCCTCCAGGTGTTTTGGACTTCCAGAAATCCCAGTCAGCTTACCAGCTATTAGGAATCATGGGAGCTGATATCCAAAACACCTGGAGGCCCAAAGGTTGGAAACCACTGGTCTGGACATCAGACTCCTTGGCATGGAAAAATGGAACAAGAGCACCTCCCCATGGCAAGAGCTGAGCATCGCCGCCAGATGCCGGAGATAGAAAGGGAAACCTTTGCCTGTGTTTGTGTATTATATGCCATTGTTCACTGTATAAAAGGCATTACATGTTTGCTTATATATGTGTGTACTCTAATCCGCTCAGAGCCCCCTCGGGGAGATAAAGCAGAATATAAATAAAGTGTATTATTACACAATTAAAGTGGTTTGATATGACTTGAACTGATTCCATCTGTAGAATTCTTGGTTTTGTAGTTTGGTGAGATAAGTAGATCTCTTTGCCAGAGAACTCTACTGACCCCTCAAATTACCAATCCAAATATGCCCTAGGGTACCGCCATGGCAGTGGAATCAAACTTCTGTACTCGTATAACAAGACAGTGACATAAAAGGAGGAGTTGACCATTGGAAGAACACACAATCTCCCAAAGACGTTGCAAACACCCTGCCTGGCTAGTGAATCAGTTTAGACTTGAAAATTGATGTCTGAGTTTTGTGGGAATGTTATAATGGCTATAAAAATTGATTGGCTTTTTATCTTTGTTCCAAAGAAAGGAGGCAGAATTAGCCGGCATTAATTATGAGGCATCTTGTTTTATCCCATGGTAGCAGGAGGTATTTAAAATTCAATGTTTATGTATCCTTAACCTCAAGTGAGATAATTACTCCAACCTGTTTGGTTTACTTTTTGCTATTAGTCCATAATGCAGATAACAATTAATTTTCTAGCTTCTAGCCGAGCTGGTGGTTTTAGATTAGCTGGGAGCATACAATTCGTTTGCAGACTTTCTTCTGCGGCTTTTAGCTGGCATCCTTTCAACAGCATTGGTATAACAACATTAATTGTTTCTATTTGCATTTGAAAGAGATGGGAAAGGCAAGGGGCTCAGTATAAATTTTCCTGCCCAAATCATTTTGTCTTTGCAGAGTATTTCCATGCAAGGAGATAAGGTGGTAGGAGGTGATGCAATTTGATCTCAGCTTAGCTCAACATCCTTCCTCTCTCAGGAAGGGTTGGGTGGGGAATTTAGTTTGTGCCCCCAGTTCTACTGACCAGATTTCCTTGATGCTTCTCTGAATTTTATTCCAAATACATCAATCAAAGGAGGTAGGCAGGAATCTGATGTTGGATCATTTATCAATTCACTTAATTCAGGCACATTTGAAGTGCGTGCAAAGTAAACATTTAAAAATAAATTGAAAGAAGAAAAAAGATCAAAACAATGGCTGTTGAAGCAGAATATAAAATCAAGATATAAGTAAGAGTAGAAAAATAAACATTCTAGCATTGGTTAAAAGGTGCAAAGATGCACTGAAGTTCTTTGAATTCTTGGGTGAATAAAAGGTCTTTAGCTGGCACTACAAAATTGGTAACATTCTGGGGAGAGTGCTCTGTAAATGGTGTGCTTCTACTGAAAAGGCCCTGTATCTGATAACACTGAACCACATCCTACATTGAATCATACAATTGTAATCATACAATTACAGTGGACCTCAGAAAACATCCAGCCCATCCTTTGCTGAGTTAGAACTAGAGAAATCATGACAGATGGCCATCCAGTTTACAGAGCAGATTATTCCATGAGCAAACATTTCATACCATCAGGAATCTCTTCCCAATATTTAGGTAAACTTTTGTTCCTTTAGTTTTTCATTTTGCCAAAATTGGGCTCTCCAAGGCATTAAATTTCTAACTCCAGTTTGTCTGAACTAGCAAAAGACAATAGCATATCTGGAATGAATGTGATTGAAGGAGGTTTATATTAATAGTCTTGTACAGTCAGTCCCTGAGTTACAACTGACTCATAATTAAGAACGAACGTGTAACAGGAAGTGAGAGAAATCTACTACTCTGAAGGGAAATTCATCCTGAAAGAGTTATCACGGGGAAAAAGTGTCTCCACTGAAGCTTTATCACTGATCTTTGTTTTTGCAACAAGCCAGTTTTTTCAAAATCCAATTATCACAGGGGCAGAAAGTGAGGTGCAATCTTCTGAACAAGAACACAGACAGCAAAACAAACACCACAGGGGTGTTAACTCTTCCTTATACTATCCAAAGCTCTTGTGTGTGTGTGTGTGTACACACACACCTGTTCCAACTTACATACACATTCAACTTAAGAACAAGCCTACAGAACCTATGATGCTCGTAACATGGATATTGCCTGTATTGATGCTACAGCATCCCAGGTTGAAATATTTTGTTCTGCAACTGGGCTAGTTAACGCTCAGTATGATCAGAAGTTTATTATAAAGATGAACAGATAAAAGCAAAGAAATACTGGAGACAGATACAGTTGTTGGTCCAAGAAATCTTCAAAATTAGGTTACAGTAAATACCTAAGCTGTTTTTATTAGGGTTGATCAATGAACACATTATGGGCCTGAATTATAGTGTTATATTATTTGGGCAGCAAAATGGTTACATGCCCAGGAATGGAAAAAAGTGGAGACATCAGCAATGGAACATTATATATTAAAGATATTTAAAATGGCAGAAATGGACAAATTGTCTGTTCTGATCACTAGAGAAGTCTTCAGACAATTTTGGGAACCTATTGATGTTTTTTCCCTTTTGTTATTGTTTTTTTTTAGGATATTTTGTGTATATTGTATGTGTTATGTGTTGGTACAATGTAGTGTTTTTCTTTCTTAAAAATGTTACAATGCAGATATATTAAAAAAAATATGAATCGGGGAGACAGAAATATTCCTATCACCCTGGCCTTGGAGGAAAAGTGGACTGTAAGAGTAATCGTAATATTCATATCACCTTGACCTTTTTGGGGGAAGAGTGAACTGCAAAGGTTAACAACAACAACAACAACAACAACAATTGTTATTATTTTATTATTCAGCAGTTCCTCAGTAGATATGCATAATAATAATCATCAAACTTTTATCATGATACTCATTTCCATAATACATGCCACATTATTACAGGATGTCTACATCCTACACCACTGGAGAAATTATATTGTTTAGCTGGTATCATACCACCTGACATATGCTGGCAAGTAGCAGCCAATAATGGCAGTGACATCTCTTGCTCATCCTCTGGATCAACCAGCACACCAATACCTTAAACCAATCAATAGCTTTCTGAGATCTACAAAGATACTTACAGGAACACCTCAGCAAGCAAGAGTCCAAAAATGGCAGGTTAAAACAAGAACGTCAATCCATGACTGATACTGAATGAGAGACTCTCTCCTGGGCACACAGAAGACTGGGCAACTTGGAAGGTGCTGAACAGACTCTGGTACCTTAAGAAATGAGGCTACAAAGTGAAGTCCATGACATGCGAGTGTGGAGAACAGCAAACCACAGACTACCTAATACAATGCAGTCTGAGCCCTGCCACATGCACAATGTAGAACCTTCTTACAGCAACATCAGAGGCATTTCAAGTGGCCAACTACTGGTCAAAGGACATTTTGTATAATGCCAAGTTTTTACCTTTGTTTGTGTTT